GAAAAAGAGACCGAGGATTAGATAGGTAGTGCGGTGCAAACATGATCAACTGGTGGGAGCAGGATCCCTACTCCGATCTTCAGAGGACTTGTCCGATGGAGTAGTGTGCGATGGAGCGGAAGAAACGCTCGCTGATGAGCGCGGATGAGAGCTGACGCTGGACGAACTGGCTGAAACGGATTGAATTAGCTGTTGCATTTGCGCTGCCATAAGGGAAGCAACTAACGAGACAGACGGACTATCCTCCATTGCATGAGTCATTTCCTGATGACCAGCTCCAACTCGACGCTCAGCCTCCCCGGAACCCATGGCCAAATGACTGCCCGAACTGCTTTCTGCCGAAGCTAGAGCAGCCGCACCCTGAGCCTCATCTAAATGCTGACGTTGAAGAGCTTGAATACCGGCCACAAGGTCACGCAGACTTGCATCGTATTGACCGGAAATTAACTGACGTTCCTCTTCTGACAGATCAACTCGACTGCCCTCGCAGGATGTTTCTAACCGGATGAAATCAGCCAGGGATGAGCGACTACTGGAAGTGCGCGTGTGCAACGAGCCCCCAGCCGGTTCTTGACCGGCAGGGTCCAACGGATAGCCTTCGGCCGATCTCCTTTTTGGATCACCATTACCGGTTAGATCCCGTACACGTGGCTCGGTTGCACTAAACTCCGGATCAGTTGGTTGACGAAGCTGTTGCAATAGCTGATGCAACATTCGACGAGAGGCCCGTGCACGGCTCTCCATCGACCCGGATGGGCTAAGATCTCCACTGTCCCAACTACTGGCCGGTTGCGCACTGGCCAAGGATGATGACAATACGGAATATTCAGACACCTCGGGAATAGGTGTCAACGAGGTAGGCTGTTGGTTAAGAAGCCGATTGGCTAATAATTCACCCAAAGCCTGGTCGTAAATATCATCAAATAGGACAAGGTTCGTATCGGAGTCGGAAACGTCCCATCCCGGAGCCGGAACAACCACTGCTTCAGGCATGGCTGATTCTGTATCAGGACTGGGTTCGGACAAGGCGCCCTCCGATTCTAGTGATGTTAAACACTCCACTACCAAACATGAAAGAATGGATAGCATCCAAACGGGTACGAGACCACCGAGATGCACGAAAACGAAAATAAATTGTATGAGACACAACAATACGAGCAGAACGGGTGGATGACATCAAACAACCCCCGGGAAGGGAAGATTAGGTAACGCAATTCCAAGGAGTATGGATGGGGGTGGGCAGACACGACGAAAAGCATTCGTTTGCGCGATTGGTTTGGATGAGATCGACGTCAGTTGAGCGTTAGAGGAGACAAAGATGGTATAAAACGCGAAGGGGTTCGAGCGCGCGCACACACGCACACACATAGACACACGCACATAAACAGTTAGAATAACACGAATGGGATTTGATCAATCGAATAAAACCGAGTAGGAATGCGGAAGCGCGAGGGGAACAAAGAAACAGTGAGAAGGGTGTGTGTGTGAGAATGAAATGGACTAACATGCACAATACGTACTTCAAGATGATGGTCAAGTGGAGAATTGGATTCGCTGCATGATCATGAATAAGTACAGTCATACATACATACATACATACACACACACACACACACATACAAACAGCTAAAGAGTGATCTTACACGTCACGGAAGATCCATGAGGTGCGACCGGGGCATTAAATTCGAACGAATGAAGCTCAAAAAATCTTTGTATCAACGGAGATATGCAAGTGTCTGTTTTTATGACAGGCTGATCGAGATAGAAATCTACGCCATTGCCTTGGGGCTGAGAAGAACGGTACTTGGTGTGCTGATCATGTCACGCTCTGGACTTGTCGGGTCCAATATCTAGTAGGAATACCTGTAGTCGGAACTCGATAAAGTAACATTACCGTCAACACAGCACAGAGTGTAATCGCCTCGATCAGCGTTTTTTCAGTTCGGTGCGACAAAGGTTTTTTATCCTTGAATACGATAAGAATAGGTCACATAAATCTGCATTGGTGATCACTCAAACCCTTGGGAATGAGAGACGAAAATAAGTTTATGCACGTGAAGGCAGTGACTTCGGTTGTGGTCTTCGGGCGAGACCATATGGAAGTTGTCCGGGGGTGTTCATCACTTCCTTACGGTGTTAATGCGTTGTGATCATCAGAGTAAAACAAACTGAATTGATCACCCCGGGGTCAGCAGAGAAACGGAGAATTCTATTCCCCGTTCGTGAAGTTGTCGGATAACAAATACTAATGATGATCCCGTGTTCCTCTATCACTCACTCGTTATCTCTGATTTCTATCAGGTGTTGACATCGATAAAAAGGTGAAAATACAAACAGTAAGGAACAGATGTATAGGAAAAAACAAACAACACGACAGCACTGGAATCAAATAATCCAGCCAATCGGAGCACCGAGAAAAATGATTACGGTTGATGATGATGAACAGCTAGCATGTGTAAGCGACA